AACATACTTTTATCTGAATCTTTCTTAAATTATTACCCATATCGGTTTAAAACAAATGATTAAATTCACGAGATAAATGATAAAGATCATTTTATCCTCTAATCCAATTCTTTAAACTCTAACTTAGATTTAATACAAATATAAACACATTATAGAATTATTAAACTACTTAATACCACTTGATGAAAGTCAGACTTTTTAAAAATTAACACAACTGACAAATTGAAAAATCATAACGAAAATTGCATCATATTTTGTCACGAATTTCGTGAAATCTGATAACGTTGTGTAATCGGATTAAATTTCATATCTACGTTACTTTCTCAATTAATCACGAATGCGTCGCATCGTCGTTTGCTCGATTTATTCTAAAAACAAATGATTGATATCGTTAATTGTCAATAAGTTACGCTTAGTGTGCCATAATCGACGCATATGACGTCACGCACGTGTATCAACCTATATTCCCGCATTATCTCCCACGGATTGTTTATGCATCACTTGACTATGCACTAATTTATCAGCACTTTGTGTCAATGGCCTTTTGTTCAAGTAGACAGCTATAGGAGGATCGTTACATAGTGGAAATTGCATCGAGCACACGGTATACATACACGCGCCGTACGCTCGCTTATATATTACTCGCTCTTATTGGCGTCGCGTCGCGTGCATACGATAATTGCTTTAACAGAAAACAGGTTGAGCCGAGATTCAAGTAGATAAAGTATACACACTGTTATATTTCGTATCACATTGTAATAGAAATAATCAGTCTCTTTTCAATAAACTATTTTCTGAGCCAGTCATATTCTGCCCTGAAGGCTAACTTTATTCAAATCTATGCAAATACGTTCGATAAAGAAGTCGAAGTTCATCTTGAAATTGCAATTTCCTAATAATTACACTCATCTACTTTATTATAATTTTATAATTTTTAAAATCGGATTTAAAGATTAATTTTTACGGAGCGTAAATGAAATTTGTATAATTAATTTCATTAAATTTCGATTAATCGGATATAAAATTGAAATAGAATTTCGCGCACTACCACGTAATGGAATTTGATCTTATTTAAATTACATATGAATGCCTGTGCATTGGAATTCGACGTATCACGCGAGTACGCGTTTGTTCATTCAATAATTGTGGCGATGCAGCTGCTGATACAAGTGAATCGCCATCGTCGACGGAGTCATAGGTGAGAATGTAACGTGCATGCACGTCTATATGTAGGTGAAACGTTCAACAGGTTGACAGGGAACAATAAAAACTTTGAGACCGGTCGATACTTCTTTAAACATGGTCACGATAAGAACGATATCGTACGAGTGAAAACAAGGTCAAAGCGATGAAATTCCTCAGGGACGCTCTTCGAAAAGAGAATAAGATTTGATAGCGTGAAACCCATGATGCAAGTTTCTATGGCTATGTTTATGTGTCTATCAATATGATAAGCAGATATTTAAGGTTGTATGTGCCGTAAGATCCCTGCCAACAGTTTAAGACATCTAGTAACTGTTAAAATTTCAATGCTCTGTCATTGTTTTGATGTAAGTGTTCATACAACCTTAAATTGTTTTGGAAGGAAGTAATCGTTTACTTATAAAACAACCATATGTTAAATGATACAGATATTTTTTAATATCGAAGAACAAAATCTGAATTTTACTAAAAATTAATCGTCATATTCTCATGTCAATTAATTATTCCACGTATTTGATTCCACGGTTCCAACGCGCGAGAACAGATCGGTTCTTTATCTCGACGCAACAGTAGAGCCAATCATGATGGATCAAGGAATCGACACTTGAAAAGCGCGGCCGATTTCAGAGAAACAAACGAGGATCGCGATCCGGGACGACCACGTCACATATACGTAATCTCGTTTCAGACAAGCAGTCACATTGTGTCGTAAATAATAGATAGATACTAGATCCACTGGCAGGGAAGAAATCAGTGTACGAGAGTCGTTAACAGATGATTTGATAGTCGCCGAGATTGTATCGAATGCGCGGAGCGAACGGGACGTTGTCTCGATCGGATCGATGCGAAAAGTGACAGCTAACACAGCGACGATATCAGGTCGACGCGCGGTGCTCGTCTAGCTAGTATCAAATTTTCTCTCTACGGTTCGAGACGAAAAAGGTACCGAGATAAGTACGTAAGCCGGCGATCATATTCTCGTCTAAGTATTCACTGGATTATAAAACCGTGTAGAGATATTAAAGATGTCATTAATCGAAAGTGCCACGACGAAGGTTCATAAAAGAAACGAAAAAAAAAAAATTCTATTCAAAATCAGCGTTTAAAATAAATCAATTTTAATTTGATCAGCGATGAAGCTGGATATAGTCAGGTACCTCTTCGCCATAATGCTCTGCATAGCGAACATGATCATCTACGGTCTGAAAGTAAACATAGCCACGGCCATAGTAGGCATGGTGAAAGCTAAGAAAGGTGACGGTGTACAAAGTGACGCGTCGCAAGAATGCGGATTTGAGATGGATGAAGCGACAGTGGACATAGACGGTCCATTCGATTGGTCCACGACCGAACAGGGTTTGGTAGTCAGTATCTATTTCGCTGGCTATCTCGTTGGAATGTTCCCCTCGGGCTACTTCGCTGATCGGTAATTATTCTTTGCTGTCAACTTTCTATCAATTTTATAAATAAATTCATACAATAAATATGTATATGGATACATACATTAATAAATGAAACATCCATCAATTGATTAGAATCCTTTCTATTATTACAGTAAATGTATTGAAACATTTTACCGAAATCTTTTATCAAAAGCATTCTTTATTATCTCGTTTTATCAAAGCGCAGTCAGCGAAAGTTTCCAGTAGTTTTAGTAGCGAGATTTTGATAGCTCTGCGTTCGAAGACTTTATCAGGTTTTTAAGATCCTGCGATAACGAATTTGGTAACGAGGTGCTGTTACACTCGATACGAAACTTCAAAACGTACACTACAAACGACTTCAGCAGTTCTGAAAACTAACAGCTAAAACTGTTTGCCATTAGTCACATTCTATGAACAATTCCAAGCATACTTTCTCGAACTTCCTGCTTGCATGTATCGACAGTTCCTGTTTATCTATCATAATCTGCAGTACCCCGAATGAATTGATTTTGAATTACGAAATGAAGCTGATTCGTTTTTATAATCAAGCTTCAACACGAAAAATGTTTTGCTGGTCTGCGTGCTGTCGAATGCCTTGCTGACGTTGATAGTACCAACGGTGGCGCACATATTAGTAGTGCTGTACATCATCCGGTTCTTCACGGGCCTACTGGCCGCTGCGAATCTGCCGGTGGTGAACGTCCTCGTCGGCAAATGGGTCGTCTACGAAGAGAAGAGCACCTGGGTCGCCATCATCTACGCCGGCACGTCTCTCGGGACGGTCGTGTCCATCCTGAGCTCCGGAATGATAGTCGGTACCATGGGCTGGGAGGCCGTTTTCTACATACACGGCACGCTGCCGTTCATCTGGTGCGTGGCCTTTTGGTGGTTCTTCGCGGACAACCCGGAAACGCAGAAGTACATCACGGAGGATGAACGACTGTACATCGTGAACTCGTATGGGCATCGGACGCCCGAATCCACTAAGCAGAAAATACCGTGGAAACAGATATTCACGTCGGTGCCCTTCCTGGCGTTAGTCTATACCAACACGTTCGGCAACTTCTGTTGGTACTTCTTGCTCACCCAGTTGCCGTTGTACATGAACAAGATTCTCAGATTCGACATCAAATCGGTGAGTTTTTAAAATAACTGATTCTTTGAATCAACAGAGATCGCTTGATCTATCTTTTTCCTTACTTAGTATGAATAATTTGAATCTAATCGCAAGTCTAATTTTTATATTGATATTATTTAGAATGCTTCGTTAAGCTGTACACCATATCTTTTGAACGCGATAGCGAATCCATTGCTTGGCAAGCTACTGGACTGGGGTAGACAGAAAACTTACTGGACCCAGACTCAGGCTCGAAAGATCGCCGTATTTATAAGTGAGTTTCATTTGCTAACTCAATCAAAAATCAAATCATACAAGTGAATAAGTTTTTGTCAAAAGACCAACAATTTAAATTTAATGAATCAATTTTATTATTAATATAGGTTGCATTCCTCCAAGTATTTGCCTCGCGGTAATCGCGCACATCGGCTGTGATCGCACGACCTCCACAGTGTTCCTGATACTCGGCGTGGTGCTATGCGGTGCCATTTTTGTCGGCCACCTTGTCAATCAGAACGATCTTGCACCGAATTACGCAGGAATCTTAATGGGCATCACGAATACTCCAGGAACTATCTCGGCATTCATTTTGCCTGCTCTGGTCGGCGCACTTATGGAAGAAGGGGTAAAAGATCTATTAACAACTTCTTTCGCTCATTGTTTCGAGAACCATTTAACTGGCATTGTTAAATCCTATCGTCTATACATTTAATTTACTATTTTCTAATCTGATCTTTCAAATCCATTCTCTAATTTTTAATATCATATTTATCTTATGAATCTAATTAATGAATTTTTAAATGGAACTCATAATTCAATCTAACTAATTTTAGACCACAATTAGCATGCTAAATCAGATTTCGAGCTCTACTGATTAAAATCTCTAAGTAGCTTTTATTACTCTGGCTCAACTCTTATCTTCTGTAATTCTAAATCCATTTACAATGCAGCACAGCATGGCGCGATGGAGATACGTGTTTTGGTTAAACATCGTCGCCCAGATATCGGCGTTCATTGTATTCGTGATCTTCGGATCGGCCGAGATCCAGGAATGGAATCAAGCGTTCGGCGATTAAAAGGAGAAATTAATATGGAAGAAGCTACCTTCTACTGACGCCAAAAAAACAAATCTGTAAGCTTTAGAAACGGAACTGATGACACAGACGCTGTCACATTTACAGTTTCGACGTGATATCCAAAACAGTTCATTTGTTATGAACGTCGTGACTTTGTGCGCATTTTGTAAGAATGTGTGATAATAAACTTTTACTTTAATACTCATGTAGATTATTTTTTTATCATATGAAAGAATTCGCTTAAAGAGTAAAATACAAATGTCTACGATGCTGTTAATATTTGATGAATGAATTATTCTGAGCAAAATGTTACTTAATTACCAGTGAAAAAGGTGTGAATGAGAAACAATGTTCCACTTAGCTACGTCGTCGGGTTATAAATATTTCGCAAGTCCGGCGGAAATTTCTTAAAGAGGAAGCGTAAAAGGTCGGTCCACGGTAATTAGAACCGCGAGACCACCCGTAATGACGGGCAACCAATTAAGAGTGGCCACCTGGCACAAAAATCTGTCTTATTCCAATTAGATCGCGAGAGGATCGCTTAAAAAGAAGCAGAAGTCAAAGCCAGCGACGAGAGGTACGGGGGGACGGCTGGCCCGATGCAACGTTAACGGGAGAATATTTATGGCGGTTGAAATATTACGTTTGTAATCTATTTCGGTGCTTGCGGCCGCTCGTTTCGACGCTGAAAAACGGAAGATTACAACTCAGTCATTTCCCCTCGTCGTCGCGGCTTCGTCGTTTCAAACGGTTTCCTACTCCGGCCAGATATCAAAGACGCGTTCCCGTTCTCGAGAAAAGTGCGCGGCCCCCCCGTCTCCCGGCCGCCCGTGGAAATTTCATGAAGATTTAGAGAGTCGCGGAAATTGAAGGAATTGCTGTTTTCAACGGTCTTCGACGCTGCGCCTCTTCCTTCCCCTCTAATAGCGATGCCGCAATTTCTGCTACACGGGGAAATGTCGCGCGGACCTGACTCGCTCGTTAAATTTTACTCCAACACAATTCTATCGGCTTCAATTTATTCGCTTCTACCAATTAAGCGAGTAATTATAATAAAATTAAATATTTTAAGTCTTCCTGTAATTTTAGATTGAATTCCATCAATCTTTCAATAATCCAATAATTCCAATAATTCAAATAATCCAACTTGGCTGCTGTTAACGTGAAATCAAACCGAAGACAGGGCATACAGGAGGTTCCCGTACAATTAATCAAAGTTGGCAGGCTGAAAGAGCCGCGACGCTGCCCTATCAATCGAGAGCTAAGCGTCCGCGGTTGACACTTTATTTTAAGCGTATAAGTGTACACAGGGAATTAGTCGAACGAGGTGGGAGGTGGCCGAAAAATTGTGGCGAACCTTGAGCCGTTGCTACCGTTACTGCTGACAATCCGTCGAAGAAGCTATTAATCAAGCGTAATTAAGGCTCGAGGTGATCCTTCGCCAGGGGATCGAGACGTCGCGTCGACTCGTTTGCCCGAGACTTGGCAGAAGTAGAGTTGCCCGACGCCACGGTTAATCAATCCTGAGGCTCGTTACAGCTAGCTAGCTTCGGGGAGAGAGAAAGAGAGAGGGAGAGAGAGAGATGAGAGAGAGACAAAGCTAGTCGCAGAGTAACGTCAACGCATCCGAGCTAGAACGCCAGGGATTGTTAATCTAGAACAGTTGAAGCGCGTACTACGAAGGAATCACAGCTGGGTTTACTTTGCGAACGAAATGGAGCACTGCATAATTCAAGACGCCCTGTTCGTTATTATTATTTTCCAGGATACGTGCTCTCGTTGATGGCTACTGTGCCCAAGCAGAATTTCTCATAGTCTATTTACATCTTCGTAAATCTCAGAGCATATTGTAACAGCATATAAGAGCATATAAGAATATATGCGGATAGACTCTGGTTCCTGTTTCTCGTGTGATTGATTTAATGAACGAATGAAGCGAAATTGATATAACAGATGGGAATATGAAGATGGATTATGGACCGAAGAATTTTTCTCATATACTCTAATAAAATCCTGAATTTAGCAAGTATATAATTTATCGAATGAAAATTGATTACGCATTTTCATATGATATACAGTCGCATTAAAATGAAGGATGATCTTCCATTCTTTCAGTTTCAGTTCGATTTTACAGAAACAATTAATGATTGTATTTAGTTCGTTATGCATATTCGTAGCTGAGAAGTCGACCGTGAACTCGTAGTTTTCTACGGGTTGAACCGTGAAAAAGGTGTTCCCCGGGGAGCCCGCGTGGAGACACATTCGGCGCGCCAGACCGCACCCGTTATTACTAGCGATAAATCGTCACCTTTAATAAGAGCTCGCATGACGCCACGGACGGAAGCCAGAGACGGCCATAGCGGCGAAAGAATCGCGATATTGAACATGAACTCGGAACTGTGTGCGAATCGAGGGCAGTACGCTCGGAATTCTGATTCCGGAATGAGTTTTACGGGCAACTTGCAGCTCTTCATGGCTGGATAATGGAGAGCAGAAATTGATACGATAGCAGTTTTCCAAGTATTTGCAGGAACTTGGTTAAAGCCCGTAATGAAATTCACATGATTAAATATTAAATCCAATTTGAATCCAATTATTATATAAATGAACCTGATAATTCATAATTATTTGTGTTCACATTGGGCGTTTTAATATGTTAAAATTACAGATAAAATTCGAGCCGGTTAATTTTCTAATTCTTCAAAAGCAATTAAGCTCGGCCACTGGTTGAACGTGACTTTTGCAACAGAGGGTTGGATATTAAGGGAGATAATTGCAGAGAACGGGTTATCGATTGCTCTTCGACGTGTGTCCGACGAATCTGGGTCAGTGCTATCAAACCGGGTGAATCGGACGTGGTGGAACGACTGGAAATGCTACCGACACTCGGCACCGCCCTTACGAGCTTTTCCCTCTACCGAGAATTCCTTTTAGTTGCTTTTAGTCTTGAGACTCAGCTATTAAGGTCTCGGCGTGCCACGTGCCTACACTTCAGCACGCCATTCGCTTGCATACTAAGAATTTCCAAAATCTTCGTTCAATATACATTACTATAATTTATACAATTTAATTAAGAGGATTTAAACAAAGTAAAGCAGTTATATATAGGAAATAAAATATTTCACATTATTTAGTAATCATGCGAATATATATTTGGTTTTTTAAAGCAATATGCATTTTAATAATACTATATAATAAATTCAAGGACATTCTTCTTCAATTTATTATCGCACGAGTTTAATTTATTATTGGATAAAGAGTCGTACGAAGAAGAATGATTAATTCTAAGCGTGACGTAAAACGCGGTATGATTATTAACATAAAAGCGCGCGTTTGCAATGAAAAAACAGGTTTGCAACTGTTAAATGTTCCGTGTAACAATGCTCATTTAAGTTGGAAATTAATGCAAGAAATAAATTGCATACGTGCGGCTGCGCGAAGATAATATATTACCGGTCGTATATCTGCGAGACCACTATCTTCAGTATTATAGTACGGAACACGACAAATGAACAGTTGTAACTATTATTCACCTCTCGCTCTCTTCGCATTTTTCACGAGTAATAAAGTATTTTATTAGTAAAAATCAAGTTGCCCGTTCAGAGTTTCCTTACATAAATTATTAGCACGTAGACATTTATACCAATTTAGAGCATAAAATCTAAAAGAAAATGATTGTATTTTTATATGTATATAAATTCTTCAAATTGTACAATGGACGCACGAAGTCCACGTATCTACCAATACCACGTCGTCTTATCAAATCTCGCTTAGATCACTCGGTCAATAGCTAAGCATTCAATTGTCTAAAGTGACCAAGCACTTGTGAACAGCAGTGTATCTCAATCTCACTCGCAAATTATTCCCAGCACTCCATCAAACGCCATCGTGGCGTAATCGTCCTTTGCGAAGCACGTCACGTCACGAGATTACTATGCGCCGCTAGCTGCCCGTTTAGCGCGTCGTTAGCCCCCGCGAGAAGCGTGAATTGGGTCACGAGAGGGAACCGGTCCGCGAACCGGCGAAGTATTCGGAGGATTATTTCCTTACGGGACTGGGTGCTGGGGGTGTCCGGGGATGGAGAGGAAAAGCGAACGAGAAGAGACGGTGAATGAAAGAGAGCAGGTAAGGTATAAGGACTCCAGCATTCCGACGGAGTCCGACGAAGAATTCGATATGCCTCGGTTGACGACGCGATTCCGGTACGGGCAAAGGCGGCAGGAATCTCGAAACTCGGTCACCCCGTTTCCAATTGACCGGCTCCCAGACCGTCTCGATTTCCCTCCCCCCCGAGTCGCCGCCGCCGTTGCATTATGCGAACTTCCTACAGATTAGTTATCCCCAAGTTTAATATTTTACCTGAATCCCGGCGCACCCTCGTTTATTCTACGCAGTGACGGCTCATTTAAATGTACATGTACAATTGGGAGGCAACTATTCTATTTAAGAGAGTCTCTACTTAATATTCTTCTCGCTTGTACAATTACCGATTCCTATAAAACCTAATATATGATATAATAAGACATGACCAATAACGTATCTTTTACTTTTACTTAAATAGCCGAAAATTTCCTACCAAGAAGTAATATGGGTTACTCAAGGCCATACAAATGAACTGTGTATCAATCAAGAATTTTATGTAGCAATCTCTAAATGATAATAATATCACCAGCCTTTGATATTTCATACATTACACTGTGCGCATTCAGTCTCCCCATAAACGCATAAAATCTGCGTTCAACATAGCGGCTAATAAATCATTATACCATATAAAAATATCAGTACAGAAACGAGGAGTTCTACTTTAAGAGCGTGCGCTTTATTATTATTTCAATTACAGCGGAACGAGAGAGCGCGTTATTTGAATAGGAATCTCCTCGAACGTGATACGCACGCATATCTCTGTCTACCCTTCCGTTGACCACCCGCCCTCCCCCAACTTTCCGCCCTGCACCCTTGAAATCCGTCAGCATATTGCGCATGCATAATTGAACGTGTTCAAACAAATAACAAAGTTTTCGCATGCTGATGAGCACGCTACCGCATCCGGATTTCG